CTGAGATACATGATGATCTCGAAGTCGTCTGATATACATTTCACACACCATCGGAGGCGTAATTAACAGTTAAACGTGATCCTTATCGCCTCCTAGGAACTTGCGAGAGGCGTGCTATCCGGAGCTTAGGTCTCGTTAAACTGGTTCGAAGAGATTAATGAGATTCTATTTGCCTCATCCACCGGTCTTTATCAGTATCCTGTTACTCGCCGCGAGTTTTTTTCCTTCTCCCTCGTGCCCCGAAGAAGCCACGCTCAATTTACAACCTTTTACCGGACTACAGCTCCTGATACCGTTGGGAATTGACGAAAGGTCCGACCATATTTTCATTAATCACCGAATCAAATTTTCTACTTTTAGCGAATCCTGCTGTATATATATATATATATATATATATATATATATATATATGTTTTATATTTTTTTTAATTTTCTCGTTCCATAGAGAATAGAGGCACGCATTTGCGAAGTTAGCATTTCGTTGCTAGAATTTCGATGTAATGGACAGAATTCCCATCGCGGGTCAGAACCATTACAGCTATATCGAAATTCTAAAAACGGAGCGCTAACTTTACGGAGGTAAGGAAAACTTTTCGGCCGGAAGCTTCCAGCATGATTCCGTGCCGTGCACGAACGAATCGAGACTATTGATTTATGTGGCGGTTAAAACACCAATGGTAATTTAAGTGTTGAAGCATTCTTGCTTGTGAAAATATCGATTAGCTCTGACTATCAAATCATAATTCTATAGGGAGGTTAGTAGCGTGTCATAAAAGTTCGAATGCACACTTGTTGTAATTAACCTTGGCAGGTAAATAAATCTTCTTGTTTTATTCGTGGATCAGCTTTAATTAAAGCGGGTCTAATTAAAAGTCTAATTAATCGAGGCAGTAGCCATTAAAACGTAGGTTTCGGATTTACCGCGGATTAGAGATTAATTCAGAACTGCGGAACGTTCGCAATACGGACCGGAATAAGTACGCCCCGGCTGCTTTTTTGAATCCAACACTCTGAGGCTGAGAACCGTATCGTATAATGTTTTAGTAAACCAGGATTCCGCGAGGAAAGCGTATCCGACGATATCGCCGGATTCTAACCGGGACTATTGTTCTGTAGGAATCCAAACACCTGAATCGCGGCTTTAGGTACAATCAGATCTGAATCTTGCACGCGAAACCGGCTAAGCGTTTAACCCATTTGCATCCGTACCAGTGTCTGCGTTTTAGCATGATACAATCGCGCTCTCTGTGCACATAGTTCGCAGCGCTGACTTCCGTTGTCTTATTGACAACTTGACTCGCGGATTATCTCTGCTGCCGGGCGAGATCTCTGAAAATGTAGCACAATTACACGTTCATGTGCTACACGAACTCACTGACTTCGCGCGATCCAAGCGAGCGGGAACATCTCAAGAATTCTATTAACGCACGTAACACAGCGCGATTATTCACGAGCCCGCAATTTAATTGACCTAAAACAGCCTTATATAATTGCCTCGATTGGTACGTTGCTCTCTATAGAGCGGTTTCTCGGGAACGCCGCTCAACTATTTTCGCCAACGATCGACAATTTGGCGCGAATAATATGGTCAATATAATAATAATATGGTCTATTCATATATATTCGACGAATGATCAGCCGCTAGTAGTAGTACATTAGCAGATAATGAATAATTTGCTATCGTTAGTGGTACATAATAGATGTTTGCGATGTTAAAATTGCTGCCAAACATCGCTGATAGCAAGATAAATTTTTCATTTTTGTGTGGTTAATCGGAAAAGTAATAAACATCATGTACTTAACAGGATAGTAAGTGGTTTTTATAGTATAGTGCTATTTATGTGTAGATAGCTAATGAAAAATTTGCAAGTGTAATGAGTCTTCCGCTCTCCCTCTCCTTTTCTCCCCCCCTCCTCTCTCTCTCTCTCTTTCTCTGTCTTTTTTCTTGCATCACGTATAGACGCTTTTTCTTCTCAGAAAACTTGGCGAACAACTTGTCTTGTTTTCACGTTGAGAATTAATGGCGACGACGACTGTTGAATGGTGCTAAAGTTTATGAATTTTTTCGTAAATCTCCTTCTAGACGCTACTTTATTTTTGTTCTCGTTGCACTCAGATTTATTATCCTGTTTATTATGCATGTGTGTTTAAAAACGTGCAGTATGAAAAATAGATTGCATTATAAATAATATAAATATACATATACGGACATATTATATTGAGCGTCCTTCTCATTAACGTGACACAGAATCATGTCACAGCGCATAAATTCCAACGAGAATGATTCGCGATGGTTTGCATGGTTGAAACAAACCGCGTTTTAAAATTCATTCTCGATTCACAAAGCATACCGCACGATATCGGCATTCATAATTAAAATAGTATTATACAAAATAATGTATATCTATGCATGTCAAGTTAACAGTAATGGGAATGTATACGTGAATAATATAATTTGATACAGGATATCTAACTAGTTGTTTAAAATTTTAAATTAAATTGCTATTTTGTTAATGTAAATATTAATAAAATAACAGTTTAATTTAATAGCGCCAGAAGTATCAAATGTCAATACGTACGTTTTAGGATATACATATATTTAAATGTTATTTTCTTTATTTTTTAATGTTTAAATTTACATATTTTCTAACGTTATGTTGTTAATATTATAATAATAGTAATACATCTACTGCAGTGTAAAACGTACTGCAATTGTAATTCATGTATGTAATTTTTATTTAATATTTATTTTCTTGAGATCACATAAAACAAAAAACTTTGAAAAAAAACTACTGTACATGCAATTCTTCTTAAATAATGCATTTACAATACATTGTTTTCGAGTTCTTCTTTAAAAATAAGACTCAAATAAATCGCGAGATACATATTATTGTGCGTACAATTTATATGTGATATCATGTAAAGTTATATATATAATTTCGCGATGATTACAATACTTTGATGTTCATCAAGATTTCTTATGAAAGGAAAGACATCGGAAAGCTGCAAATAAGTAAATAACACATAGTACGATTCTTATTACGTTCTTATTCGTTTATTTATTTTTTACAATTGCACTCAGTACGCACTCGATAATGCGACCAGTGTTTGCACAAAAAATTTGATGTATATATAAAAACACATCACCTTTTTTCGTAAGGAGAAGCCTCTGAATAGCAAGAAGCAAGCTTTTAAAACTTAACGATCACATTAAATCCCCCTTCCTAATAGGACACAAGTCTTAATCCCAGCATGAAAAAAAAAACCATCCCGGGTGCTGTATGAATCTTTTATCGAAATCACGAAGACCTCACGCGCAGTGATGCTTCGTCGTACCTATCCTTTTTCATGGTAATCTTCTCGTTACTGGTTTATATCGTTTGTCAATAGCGACAGCGACGCCGAGTTTTATGCGACCTTTTTCGAATGTACCTATACAATCGATCGATCTCTTAAACTTAGGATTTATATGAGACGTTCCCATTTGTTTTGCAGGCCACTAATCTTAGACGAAGGGTGAATACTCTGTCACATCCGTCAGCATCCCCTTACGGACGGCACAGCGATTATTATCACTCCAATATAGGTGATTATATTGTTTATTATTCATTATACAATTATTATTACAGTGAGTGAGAGGGCGATCAATTTTAAAATTATTTCGACTTTTCTTTTTTATTTTTTCTTATTCGTTAACTTCCTAACTTAACTGTATGTTTAACGAAAATTATAAACGATTTTATATGTTCCTCTCACTCTTTTGTTCAAATTGTTTATTACGACACACTTTCAAATGTTTTATTACCACTTCCGTAAGTTCATCGAATTTACGATTAATTGTCCGGCTAATTTCTAGAAAGTGATTAATCGTTGTGAAATATCGACGCGACGAGACACGAAATTTTCTTTAGATTTTATAAGGATATAGAAGTCAGGTCGAGCTAGCTAACAACTTAATTTTTCTGAATCCCTCCCAGGGGATTATACACCCTTCCCTTAGACAAGATTAAGCTTTATATTCTCCGGTGAAATTCATATAAGCGAGACGCAATTCTCGTCGACGTGCCTCTTTGAAAAAGGCTTTTTTTCTTTTTTAGATCTAAGTAGTCCGCCCTGCGAAGCAAGCAGTCTTCCGGCTTTGAGTCACGTCGCCATCGACGCGGATGACAATGAAACGAAATTATTGCTGTAAGTATGGCCGATTGATTTCCTATGCTCATCTGCGTCACTCACCATGCTCGTTTTCAATAATTATGACGTTAATAACGATTTAATTATTGCACTAGATTTTTGTACATGTCTAAAAGCAAAAATTGCGAAAACCGTAGATTATTTGTAAAATTTTATATTTTGCCCAATGATTTCCGAAATATTCTTTTCTTCTCTAGCCTGACTTAAAGTACATTACAAATTTATTATTCTGTTTTTTTATTTTTATCTGCCATATATCTATCAACTGTGTCAAGATGACAACCGTCGTTCTTTGTTCTATTCCATTTCTTCCTCTCTTCCACTCGAATTTGCGATATTTTTTGTGCATTCAGAGAAAAAAAGGAAAGATTATTTACTTAAACGATTGATTGCTCGTAGCTATAGTTCGTCTTAAAAATTTGTTGAGATTCCTTCAGTAAACAGAAGCGAGAAAAAAAAACGATCGTAAAACGTCTTCCGTTGATTTTCGCACGAATACTTGTTTCGCGAGCGTTCTGTTCTGTCGGCGGGATAATAAATTGCAGTTGAAAAGAAGGGCAGAAAGACAGAAGGAGGTCAATAAGCCGCTATCTGTGATAAATCACAGCATTGGTCAGAGAGCAGCGGCGATAGACACGAAATTGAGAAAGAGGTAAAAGAATTCTGCACGTTAATTCTTTTCGAAACACTCGGAACGTTTCGAGCGTGTCATATAATTCACAATCCGCGATTCGTTTCGCTGAAATCCGCGCCTCGATCTTCGGGAACTTCTTTCACGGACATTATACGCAGGTCTCATCGCGGCTGACAAAACGATTCCTTCGTTCGCACGTACGCGTAACTTTTAGAACTATTATTTTCCTCCCCTCTTTACTCCCCCCCCCCCTCCCCCCAACAAATGCGTCGTTCGCGCAAAATGAATAGCTTTTCTGGAGAAGTGTATGTTTCGCAGCTGCACGTGCAACGGGGGGTATCGAGGCACGAGTTACGAGATCGTCGCTTGTATGTACGTCGGTAAATCAAGTCCACCGCTCGCTGCAGCAATTTAGTTTGCTCCCGTGAAACAAAAGTCCAAATCGTGCGGTACATCGTTACATACTCGCCATTCGTCTCGACTCTACCGACGCTTTAAGCCTAAAAGTGGAACGGCCAGCGTTAGTTTATTTTTACGAAAGTAAAAAAAAAGAGAATCACTTATAAATTTTAAAATATGTATATGACACACATATTTTTAAAATAGACCGTATCAGACGTGGATATTTATAAGTGTGTCCAATCATAAAAGTACGTTTAAAACTTCTAAACAGTTTTAATGACTAGTCGAATTATTTTACTTTGCTCCTACACTTACGTACAATTATATCTCTCTGAGAAAATACTGAAGAATTTATTTGCTTTTACAACCGTAAAATAAATGTTGCCATTGTAAACAAAACGGCGCCCACTGTGCTAAAGTCACGGACTTTTAAGAGCTTCGCTTCGATGGCAATCTTCTTCCCCAATTATTGAACTTTGTCCCCCGACTTTTTGCGGGAATAAGCGAGGGACTAAATTGGAACTATTTTGACAACGAGAGGAAAGAGGAATTCGAGGCTCATCGGTATTCCTCCCCTATTTTCCAACCGACGCCGACGCATCACCTCGATTCTCAGTCATTATTCTTTGATATTCCACATGGGTGCTCCGCCGGTACACCCGTATTTCACCGATCGTCGTATTTTGTGCCCATTCCTGACATTTATGGCCAGTAAAATTTAGAAAAAATATATCCCATACAACAGCGATATAGAAAATCGATATTTTCCACCGAACAACTCAATTAATCATGACGTGTAAACCTTGCTAAGTTTCTTGTCGCAAAATTAATTTTACAAATACCTTGTGCGATAGCCACAAACATTTACGTCAGATAAGACAATTTGCCTCGTTAAAAAAATTATATTGTTAATCTTCTAATTACATACTATAATTACATATTGTTTGTTTTTTTTAACAATTTTGTAGTAAAATTACCTCAATTATATCACCTGTATTTGACGATCTTTTTGTGACGATCATAAAGAATACAGGAGGTAAAAATAAAAAGTGATAATCAGCACTTTCTGAATGATGTATAAAGAAACGTGCATAGCATAGATATTGTAGTTCACTTTTATACCGGTGTCTCACGCATTGGCGAGCAGACTGAAAATGTGAAACATCGCGGCCGACATTTCCATACCATCTTTCGCAAGTTTTCTCACCTCTTTTCTTGACTTCCCACGAATTCCCGGGCTTTGCGCTTTTTCGCAAGAAGAATTGGAAGCAGCCACGGAAGAATAACCGCGGTGAATCCCGCGATGAAGTTTCCGCGAATGGAGCATTTCCTCGCACGTCCGTCATTTTAAGACCCCTGAGCACTCCAAGCTATTACGATTCTCTGAGTTGACGCCTTTCTTTGTGAGATGAAGACCTGACCGCATTAATTACTACGAGCTGTGGGCAATGTTTGCAAGGACTGAATTAAGTCGCGACGAGTTCATGCCGGTACTTTGTCGACGGGAATATTGCGACGCGCGGGAAAGTTGCGACACAGCTACTTGGTTTTTCTGGTAAACATCAGAATCTCAGAATACCTAGATATTACATACTTTTACGTAATATTACAGCATTGGAAATTCATAAAGGGAAAGTAAACCTGCTGCAGCGAAGCAATAATCCCCGACGGTAGAATACAAAAAAAGCCGCCATTCACTTCGCGACAACGTTTGTTGACGGGAAGAGAAGAGCATTTTAAGTCAGATTTTTATCTATTCTAATATCGGCGCAATAATACACTTCACGCGCGTATCTTCTCGTCGGAAATTCAAATGTGAAGTCGCTATCTCTTGCGCCGCGAAAGGCATTGAGGAATTTGTATCGGTTTCTTGCGTGGTTGAAGTAAAGAGTGAAAATCCGAGAGGGTAACTCCCGTTTCGCTTAAGAACGGTGAGGTATGTCGACACTTATCGCTAGTGATACCGGGGGACTCTAACAGAATCCGATATCACTTTCTGGAAATCGAAAATCTTTTCATATCGAGAATACGGAGCATATTTCGAGTACGCTTTTTACTCCGTTATTGCGAGAATAGTATCGTGCTACATATTTCTCGAGTACGCGAAAGTACGATTCGGGGATTGCGAAGGCGATCAACGAACGCTGTAATACATATATATTTTCCCTATACGTTATTTCCTACAGAGTAAAAACTATGGGACAAAAAATGTAAATATTTAAATGAAATTGACAGATGCAATAGAAATTAATTAGCTATAGTCAATGCAAATGATAAGTAAAGCAATATTATTTAAACGTATATTCTCACGATCTCACGATCAGATCTGAGGAAGATTGATTGTTAATGTTCATATTTATGAAATATTTCAAAGCTGTATTAGGTAACCTTAGTAACCTTTTTTTCTGAATCTGACATTAGAGTCGGGAGAAAAAATTATCCGACTAATTCAACGTATTTTTGTTTTATAGAAGGGAGCAACAGGTCAGGAACGGACGAGGGAATTTCAGATCCAGCGTCCGAAAGTTATCTCCTCTGAGAAATTTCATCAAACAGCATTTGGTGAGTCTTTCCCTTTTATTTTTTTTTCCTCGTCAAATTAATTATTCTGCGGAGGCGCATTTGTTTTATTTTGATAAGATATTTCGTATAACAATTCGTGGCAATGTTGCAATAAAATCAGTGTCTCAGCAAATATTGTTGATAAAATGTCGATGCTTTAATAAAAACGTTCAGTCAACTGTGCTTGCTAAAAAAGCAACTCTCGTGACTTTATTAAACCCGTCGCCATTAAATTTATTTTAAAAAAAGACCGTTTTTCTTTCTGTAAATATATAATTAATATTTATGCACGTTGTATATGCAGGCATCGAGTAATATATTTTTCTTTGTAAAATGACTTGTAACATAAATTAACGTACGATATTTACGTACGATATTTGCATATTTGTTACGCGGTTAGACTGTTTAAATCGAGAAACTTTATAGGCATTTATGCAAAATAGCATAGCATTGATACTTGCTATTTTTTCATAAAGAAAAACTCGCTTTCAAAATGGCAAATAAGGTTTGTTTATTATTCAAGAACATTTAGTGCACTGGTTAAAAAGCTTTTACACGTGGAATTAACGCAACGCCCACATGGGCACATCAGCGATTATTCTAATTATTTAATCACTTAATTTAATTCAAACGGATGGAATTTTATAATTATCAAAGCTGACTTTTCGTATTTAGGGTGGAAATATATGTCTCTCTAATTTCGAAAATAATATTCGTCTTAATTAAACTGTCATCGCGGTCGGTCCATTATCGGGGCGGCCGATCGATCGAAATTACAAAGGTCAATTCACGAACCGATAAGCAAAGGTCACTGATTCGCGTGACCTCGCGTACCCCTTCACATTTGCGCGAGGGATCCGATCACGAATACCTGCGAATCCGGAGGCGAGACATCCGGAAGCGCACGATCGCGCATTTGGCGTCCGGGAGATAAAGCGAAGATTTCACGGCTTCAGACTCAGAGCGATAGACGAGTGCCGCGAGATTTACTGCCGGCTAGGCGGGAGGGAGCCAAGCACTGTGGCGAGAGAGCGAAAATAAGAGTAAAAACCGTAGCGTGAAAGAGCAGCGGCGATTCCGGCGGCGCACAGGCGAATTCACGTATAAATGATCCACGTACGGTCGAACCAAGTCGCTCTCCGAAATCTGCAATTTATCGTTTTTTCACGCCGCGTTCGTTTGCGATTACTACAATTTGCTAGCGCTGTCCTATGCTGAGTGAAATATTCTGTATTCAGTATGTAGGTATCTTTCCTCGAAGGAATACACAGGTTTACAAATCCACGACTGTGCTCTGCTTAAACCCTTCGGTGTGCTCTCAAATCCGCTACTGCGCCTCTCCCGAGGATCTATCTGTCATCTTTCATTTCTTCATGCCGGTCCGGTCTCCTCCCCCCCCCCTGCGCGCTGCTACCCCCCTCGGAGTGTCCGCGGGGACGGATTCCTCGCGCTCCCGTAATAGAAGTGTCATCCGAAAATGTTTTCTATCCCCAAGCGCTGCAACCGCGTTTCTCTTTCCTCGGTGATTTTTATTGGCTTAGTAACTTCGCCATTCATCACCCCGGCTCTTCCTTTTCGGTGTTAACATTCCGTCGTCGTGCGGCCCGCTCAGATATTCTCCGATGCCGAAGAATTCGTTATCTTAGCACTCTCGGTGCGAAAAATCGAGAAGCCTACCACAGAAATGACAAATATCTAGATGAACAAATTGCCTAAAAAAATGCTAAAAAGCCCCTTTGAAGATATCGAAGAATTAAATCGAGGAATACTAAAAATCTCAAGGTTTATATATGATGAGTAGAGCACGTTTCTGTTTGCTGTTCCGCGAAACGAGAACCCCAAGACAAAAGTGAGAAAGTGCGAAATGATCGATTGAAAGAGGAAATGACGATCGAAGGCTCAAACAACAGCACGTCAATGAGCGGGACGACGCGAAGAAAGGTCACTTTGGTCTCTCTTACGTCAATTCCTCGCGCGGCGGATCGCGCATCGACCGTAACCACTGCGTGTCGGTAATGGCCTTTGCGTCGACCGCGACCACTCGCGCGTCCGATCGCGGCGCGACCGCTACCACTGAACGCGATCGATCAGACTCGCTGCCGCGGTCGGTTTCCCCTCGATCGGTCGTTAACGTTAAACCGAGTCACCGTGGGCGGGTGTGCAGGAAGGAAAGAAGGATTTATCGTCTTACCCGCGCGACTTCGTCGTATCTCCTAATCCCGTCTAATAGCGGCATAAATTCGTGCGGTAAGCATTCTTAACGTCTCGCCCCCGTTAACGTTTCTTCTTCGTCTTCCTTTTTTTCCGCCGATCACGCCAGCGACTTACAGCAAAGACGTATCTCCCTAGACCGTTCGATCACGATCATCTCACTTTATAGTAACTTCCTTTCTCTCTTCCTTCTCTCTCTCTCTCTCTCTCTCTCTCTCTCTCTCTTTCTTCCCATCTTCCTGATTGCATTGTAATCGAAAACATCGAAAGCTCGAATTTGCGAATGCGGCGAAAGGATGCAACTTGCGTGCGCAAATCCCTTTTATAACCGCCAGTCGTTTAGAAGGTTTTAACTGCGCGCATAAACGTTCGCTGAATCGTGCTCGCATAATACTGTGCCGTAACCGTTGTGCTTATGCTCGGCGACTTAGTTAAATGATGTTAGCTTCCTCGACATTTTGGATTGACAATTATTACTTCATCTTCAGCGCACGCTGGAATAGCGAAAAGACAGTGACGAAGACAATCGTTTATAGAGAACGTTTGCAATACGTGCCTTCACTGCCTTCTTGCCAAGATTCATTTGTGCATTTGTGCAACACTCGCGAAATCTATTTGTTTCGCGGAAATTTCTCCCTGACATTGTCGGAGGAAGATGGCATTATGTAGTAACAAGACGTAATACATCAAGAAATTTCTCCGCGCGACATATATATATATATATATATATATATATATATATATATACGTTCCTTTATGAGCAAGCAATTTATTCGTTATTTTATTTCTTAATCTTAACAAACGTTTTGATATTTATAAGATTATAATTACAATCTGATAACAATGATGTTTAAGGCGACTGTAAAAAGAAATCTAACTCTGTTTAATTAGAAGAAAATATAAATATTAAAACGTTGTACGATCACGTTTCACAGGCTTAATCGGACGCTCTTGCATTTCTGCATTTCAAGCATCTGTATCAAGCGAGCTTTAATTTTAATACACTTAAGACTTAATTACAAAAGGTGTTTAAGAGTGAGAAAAATTCTTAGTACGTCTTACAGACAGCTGTATATTATAGCTGTTAATGTCACGCGATGCAGACACGTGGCAACATTACTGTCGTAATTATTTTGGCGAGTGACAAATGCTCGATTCGCTGTCACCGTGAGCTTTGTCATTCTTCGCGCGGTCGCAATCATCCAAAGATGCTTACGTCGCTCCGGGATCGAACCGCGAGCGTGGGCGAGCCCACGCGGGAATATCTTGAAAAGCATGCAGTGCAGGATTTCTCGATAAATGCACAACATGCGCGTGCTTTAAAGGACTGAATGCATATATTGAAACAGAAAGAGAGGAGTAAATTTGATCAAAGAAATATATTTATTTACAGGAAAGATTACGAGAAAATTATTTTTCAAAAAACGAAGTTTTAATATTATATGACTTCTACGACATTTATTATTATTATTATTTTATCAATTTAATAAATACATTTGTTGTTTTTCATTTCTCTGTATATTCAATTAATTTTCTGTTAAATTTATTTTGATGTACTTTTATTATGATGATTGGAAATATTATTTTATAATTTTACGCAATAGTAATTTTTAATGTAATACAAAAGTATATTGCGTTTTATCAGTGTTATAAAAGACATTTTATCTAAGACACAAATAAGATACGTTCTACTTTTTAACAGTAATGATGTATAATTAATTAATAAGCGTATATTAATCTTGAGAAATTCTTTATGAAATTTCCTTCTGCGGAATTAATAATATCTATCACTTTACAGTTTATAATAATTTAAAACAGTATAAAATATTTAAAAATAATCGAATAAAAAAACTTTGAGTAAGAAAATTTTAAACTTTGGAATTTAGAATATCCTCTTGCTGTAAAATTAATCTAGGCCACTGTTCGGAGAAGCGACGTAAAGTTTATGATTATCGACATGTGTGCGAACTTTCCCTGGGGGATGACTCCACCCTTTCATTCGATTACAAAGAAATTTTGCACCGGCAGTCGCATTCGAGTTTCACATTTGAACTGGCTTTTTAGGACTCGAGAGACTTCGTCGACGAGTCTCAATATTCATTAACATCGCGGCTTATTACTCGGCGTTGATTAGTTTAATTAAACGCATCCCACGTTCGAAAATAATATCCTCTTTTATTTTGTTAAAACGTAACACATTTAACGCAGCAATATTCACGCGAGAGCTGAATGTAGGTAACGTTGAATAGAAAATGGCGATGCATATAAGAATTCGCGGTTTTATTTCTTTTTCTGTGTCAATGCAGAAAAAAAAGAAAATATAATAGGATGAGAAATATATAAAAATGGAATATAAAAAGTATTTAATCGACATTGATGAGAACATGTGTTCTTTTAATATTGATTTAAGTATAAAATTAGATCAAGTGGTTGCGGTGGTCTTAAAAGCACAGTATCATAGATATCATTTTCACCGTCAAATAATTAATAGACACAACACGAGCAAAGGAAAGTTTCGTATGACTCTCCGCAACGTCTGTTTAGGTCGAGAGACCACATTCATCTCTTTATATGAATTATAACGCGTGGAATTACACGCAGCCCTCGCCGGTCAACTCGAATCAAGTTGCCATTCAAGCGGGACAGAACATAATTGCGTTTTGCGCTTTGCGCTTCGCCGCGGCATGCACGATACTTGACAATGCACGCAATAAAAGCAAATGCGTATATTTCCCCTCGCGAAATCCATTTCGGTCAAGCAAGTGGATCGAGTGCGATTTGTCGAGACGTAAGAGGATAAAAATCTCAAAATGCATACATACATGTATGTATATAATCTGACCGGTGCATTCGATATTGCATAATTTTGCGGCATTGCATGCCTCGCAGGAGAAGTTTGATGAAGAAACTGTAGCTTTTATTTTTATTTCATCTTATTTATTACGAAAATGCATACGAATACGATATGTGTCCGAATATTGAAATATCTTGTTCATTTCAATTCTATGCTACTTTCTAAAGACGCGCGTTGAGCTTTGCATTTTCGCGTTTTATCTATGTGATACACATTGTTACGTGTTGTAAGATTATTCAGTACTGTCAGCCATCCATCCGGCGAAGAATACATTATCGCGAATTTACATGAGATTGCTCGATCTTGCCAACTGTCCGTCTACCGGAACAAATTATTTTCCTGCTGTCACTAATTTGCTCCCGAGTTTAATTAAATTTATAAGCTCCATGTATGTGTGCGGATGTGAAACGTTGCGCCGGTAACGCTGTTCGCGAAATTAATCATATCGAAAAAGTATTTAAGGATTGCTTATTGTATTCATCACTGGAAAATATCGGTATCGCGCATTTGTTTCAACGTCCCAGATAATTATCCCGATTGAAATTGCTCTTTGATTTCTTTTGGGAGGGAAAAAATTGCCGTTAAAGCCCTATCGGTTTCGCTGTATTATCGTACTTGTCAAGCACAGACAAAGGATCACGACGTAGCCTCCAACGCGTATATGTTCCTAGCGTTACCACCATGGTAACGAGAATGGATTATACGGACCGTAGACGGATAAGAGCGATACTGGTCGATGTTTCCACCAAAGCCACCGGCGGTGCTTTGATGTAAAATTGAGATAGTAAGAGAAACGCGCCGGAGCCGGTGCGACGTAATGTTACACGACACGGTGTAACATTACATTTTACGAAACGCGCGTATTATCCAATAATTTCTATACCGACAAACGATTTTACTTTGCGTGATTTTTGCCGTAATGCGAAATGCCGAGAAAACCCCTCTGCTGAAAGGAAATGATTCACGAGGTATATCCGTATGAAAGAGACGTCGATGGTTATTAATTTCTGTGGACCGCTTTACAAGGATATCTTTTTTCAAACGAACACATGAATCGAACGCGCTACGCACCGTTTCGAAACGATCGCGCGTTTCAATTGCCCTGCTCCCCCCCCCCCTCCCATACTCCCCACGATAAAGCGATGAAATACTTTCTAGAAAAAGTCCCGTTTCGGTGCGATAAATGTTTTGTCGTATCGCAAGTATGCGAGTTACGCGCAAAATTGAATTGCAATCGAAACTGCAGTGGCGAAAGAACTTCATTTTTGAAATATCGGAAAAAAGTTATTGGAGTGAGGCCAAAAGTAATACAAGTTGGAGGACATTGATTCGAGGCGAGTTTTCACGTATAACTGGAGAAAGATTTAATCTGCGCCGTGCTGCAAAATTTCAAGTAGAAATTCTGTCTGCAAATTTAAAATGATACTGACGGAGGCCGCGTACGTATACGCTGTTTCGCGGTACGGAGGGTGAAAACGCAAAGTGCATACGTAACTCGCGGGAGAAAAGGGGGCTGCGCGGTAAACAGATAGACGCGTATAGAGCACCGCCTATCGACGAGTTTCATTTCGATTCGCGGAAGGAAGACCTAGATCCTGGCGATTGATAACAGATACGCGCGATGCGTTTCACGCGGGGCCGCGCGGCGCGTCGTCCTTGACGGGCGGCCTGCACTCACTCACTCACTCACTCACTCACTCACGAGAGAGGGTGGATTTCCAGCGACGCTCGCGCATCCCCTCGCCGTCGTAGTCGACCGGCCGGCGGGGTAGGTGGCTGCGTTCGAAATATCGGCCGAGGAGTACCGCGCTCTCCCATCGAGTTCTCCCTTCAGTGCGACGCGCGACTTAACGCCGGCAGGACCGACGCGCCGCCCTCGCCCCCTTCAAGTGAAGCTGAATAAGACCTGCGGAGCAGCTACACACGTGAGAGAGAAAGAGAGAGAGAGAAAGTTTGAAATCGGAAATCACCGCGGGATGACGCTGAACCGCATGATTGAGTCGAGTGAGTCGACATAGGATTGAGGAAAGGTCGTGCGAGCGATATTTCGGAAAAGCCGATTTTGTTTGGAAAGAAAGATAAAGGGGGCGAAAGAGTCAACAGAGAGAGAAGGGAATTTCAGCGTTCAAATTCTGAAAAAATTGACACAGGCGCAGAATCTTCTCAGTCGAGAAAAATTGTCGGACGGTCCGTTCAATCTCGATTTATAAAACATGACAGAATAATTTCACGACGAACACGATAAAGAATCGAATCGATCGCACGGAAGAAAAGTCAACGCAGAGAAATAAAATTTAAAGGATACGCGAGCGCCGTTCGCGAAATATCGAAATGCGCGTGTTGTTTCGAGAGTAAGAATTTTGAATAGCTTGGGAAAGCGAAGTTCTGAGAAGAAAGTCCCGTTGCGAGAGGACGAAATTACTGCACGAGAACGGAAACGCTCCATTGCCAGAATGTCATCATCTACGAAAATCGAAGGTAAATTCTCGTTTATGTTTGCGTGAGCGCGCCTGATTCACTGAAAATCAAGTCTCCTATTCAGCAGGGAAGATATTGATTAAAACAATCGATCGATGTGATTATTTAAAAACTGCACTATATTGCTTGCGATATATGTATATCAAAATATCATAAAGGTTTCAAATCAACGAAATGAAGTGCATGGGCTCTCAGAAAAAAATTTAAATTGCATCTCTAAATTCTCGAAAAATTGCGTGTCCACTGCAGTTAATTTTACGAAAAAATATCATTTTTACAATTGTCACAGAAACCCTTTAAAAAAGCCTTACCCACGATACTGTTAATTGCATATTGATATAAACATTTGTCTACGTAGGCTTTACAATTTTTACAGCGCTTTTACGAAGTTTCATAGGTGACTTTTTAACAAAAAGTTATCGTTTTAAAATAAATGTTTACCGTAGCATTTTTTATAGCGAATATTTATTATAAATAACCAAGCACAATATTAGCTATTAGAATCTATTAGTGTCATATTTACTGAATCAGTATAAGTTAAAATTACAAATTATGAGTATGTTATTTATGGATCATCGGTAAATACGTCCTGATCAACATAAATATTGATATTTTATTATATGTATATTTATTAAAATAGAGAAAGTATATAGTCAGTTTACATAAAAAATTTTTCTAAAAAAATATTGACAGAGAAAATGAGAAAGAGAAAAACCGTAGAGAAACAATTCCTGTAAACTTACATTAAATGCTGCTACTTTATCATGCATGTATTGATAGTGTATTCAAAGCACTGATAAAAAAGTTATGTAAATGGACGTGGGATAGTTGATTGACAAAACACTTGTTAGGTAAATAAAATATTTTACTACGTCTATTTAATGCACGGAAAAGAAAAAGAGAGAGAAAGATTTAATCCACGTTTTTATCATGTATTTAGTGGAAAGATGGAGTAAAAAAATCTAATAAAATGTAACTTTCTTCATGGCGGTCAATATTTTGTCGCGCATGGTCGCACGGTTGTCTTTTTATCCTGGAATAACAATTGTGGAGGAAAAATATTTTCAGGACGCACATTGTAACTTTCATCGACATCCACACACGCAATCGCGAGTGCTTTGTCTCGTCGATTTGCGCGCCGAAAAGTTTGAATCGCAAAATCGATATGGCTCGCAGCGTCGACGATAATTGGATCGTTTGCTGGATTGCAAAGCGGACGTTTCGTAGGCGTTGCAAATTCAGAGTGTCAAGAATGAGGGCTACAGCGAGAGAGAGAGAAAGAGAGAGAGAAAATAGATGTAACGTCGATACAAATTTAACTCTCGGAACTGCGTGGCGATTTTTAATCCGTAAATATTCGCTCGCGTTATTTATATATATTTAGTTAGCCTTTCCGATGGCGGATTACGATACGTGAATACGCGCGGTTAAGCTCCGATCGCTGGATTCCATTCGGGCCGATAGCGGATTTTTTTTTTTTCGCTCCTCTTAATCACCGCGCGGATGTAATGTTTCATGTATGAAATTCAAGCAAAATCGAGCCTGAAATTTCATTGTGCTAATATAAATTAAATTATTTCCATTGTAACGTTACAAATAGAATTTGTGTTTTCCGACTTCCTCTTTTGCAACGATCTGACACGCTTTGTCATATCATTCGAAACTGACGTGCAAATATACGAACAATTCGTTGTACTGTCAGCGTGATCCCCGAAATACCGTTTCCATCAAAATTTCGATTTCGTGAATGTTACATTTTAGTGAATGTTGCATCCTTTTCCCAGACGTTTACTTTCTTATCTTTCTTGGAGAGAAGGAGCAGGAGGTGTCGGGGCACTTGATATTTGCAGCGAGACACGCAGTATAAAATATACGTATGTGCATAACATGATTGATTGTCCATGCGTTTACATCCGGCTCGACGAGCGGCAACTCGTCGGCAGATAAAGAAAGAACTGCTTAGGGCAAGACTGCTGCATAAATTAACAGTTTCCCGCGTCGGCGAGGCAATGCCGTTCCTCGTCTTCGATCGAACTCGCCCCCATCGATCCGCCTCGCTTTAACGTCGGCACGCGCGGGGGCCGCGCTGACAGCTGCAGTCGGTCTCGAAATCGCTTGGTACCGCTTGGCAAAGCAATCCGATTCACGTTGCCCGCTGGTCCCGCCGGCTTGACTATCAATTTCACGGTGATTTGAGCGCGGCGGCATTATGTGGATCGTCCGCTCGGCGGCAACGGCGACGACGACGACGACGACGACGACGTTTCCGTGCCAAGGCTGCACAGCTGTCGACGCGATCGACAATTACGAGATACGATCTCCGTTATCGTTCCCCCTTCTCCGTTTTTTCTCGCAAAAAACAAAAAGTCACGTTTGACGACGTTGTCGCCTCTAATAATTTCCATCTCGTTGGAAACTATCAGCGTTCTCGGCTGTCGGCTAGCTTCTTTCCGCGCGGAAAACTTCCCGCGGAGATAGCCCGGTTCTCGCGCGTACCGATCGCAAAGAGGATCGAGGATACACGATCTCGCGGCTGTCGTCGCTGCAGGGGAGTGAAGCGATATATCGGGTTGGCATTGCTGCAACTGGGGTTGCGTGTCAAACGTCTATCTTTGCGCGCCGAACCATTTCTAACGGTATTGAAATAATACGAGTTTGAAGGTTTTCGCGGTGCAACACAATTGCTGCATTTTAAGCCGCGACCGTTTCATTAACCTAAGCGGCTTTCTTTCGCGGAGGAAAGCCGCCGGTGAAACCGCGGAGCTCCGGTTTTAGCGGGACAGCAATTTCGGGAACGTATCACTTATTTTGCACCCGAAAGACTTCTCCTTATACTCAAAGCGGATGCTATGACGGATAATGTCGGATAACAGAAATTGACAACATATTTACAACTTTTATTTTTGTACAGTTATCAAATCTTTCAAACCGACGAGTTTTTCTCAAGCAGCGCGTTTCAATGAACCGACGTTGGCGACGCAAAGTGTTACAGATAAGAAGTAGCGCGCGATAGATAAAAATTATAAGCGTCGACCTGACAGTCCTTTGCGATTCGAATTATTTTTCGCGAATTACCGAATATCATAAGGACTTTATTCTCAGTTTAATGTAACCAAGATGAATTAAAGAATTATTTAGAGAAAAATTTCTGAACGATCTAAAATATAGCGCGCTGATTGAAATTGTGCATTGATTTGAACATTTGGAATGTGTGAGAGACTAACATATTCCGTGAAATCCCGTTTGTAGTACCGCGAACTCTCGGAGCGACGCATCTGTTTGTCACCCAGGTGCGAATGCGCGATTACGGCATTCTTGCGCGGCGGCTGCCGAGATATATATCGGACGTTTCGCTTTATCGAAAACTGATTTACGCCGCCCTGAGCACTCCGACGCTCAATCCTGCCTCTGTATTGTCCCCTCCATTATTCGCCGGCGCCGCGTTCAATGCGGTCATTGCGTACACCGCAATTTCGATTCTCTCTCTGTCACCTTCCCGATGATGTATATCTCGCGCTTGTATTGCGATGTGCAGTACGGCGATGTTCTGTAATTCTCGGAAGAAACGCGTAGCAGCGGATGGACGCTCTTTCCCAGCCATCAGACACTCGCGATATGATATCGTTGTGATATTAATTATAACTTTGACGTGATATTGATCAAAAGCTGTAACTAATAAGAGTGTGAGTCCCTTCACCTTGCTCGGCGTCAACTACATAAGAGTATGACAAACTTTGTTATTGGAATAGAGAAAAAGTTTCAAATTAATTTTGATTAATCTTCTGATTTAAATAATATGATTTGGATTTTCAAACTAAATTTAAAATATTTTAAGCATTTCATGTTATTACTATTAAGCTCTTAGATGGCAGGGAGGATTAGTAAATCCCACCTTAATTAAGTTATTTATATATGTTACATATTTTCACCTTGATAACGCCGGGATAAAATCTTCCGCGTTCCGCCGCGTTTTCATCTCGCGTTCTCGAAGCCGAAATTTGCAATATCAAAAGCATCTCGCGATTTCGCGGAAGAATTGCACATGTCTCTGCGAAGAGTGGCAAATACCGTCGTATTTACGGTATATTTACCGTATATTATTCGCACGGGTGTTTATGCGTGTTCCAAGAACAAGTATCTCCGCTCGCGTCTCTTTCTCCCGGGTCACATGTGTGCATCCGCACAATTCCCGCGCGTAATAACTCACCAGGAAGTCAAGGTTGGGCGTTTTACAGGATCATGCGATCGTACATTCAGCGCCAACGGTATCGATTCGCGAAACGGCGCGAAACAATTATTTTTACTATTGCGGAAAACTTTGTATTTCACGCGGCGGAGTGTATTCGCGTTCGTTCCATTTAATATTAAGGTATTCTGCAAATGCACTCTGCATTTTAGAAGTTCTCGCGATATCGCAATATTGCGAAATTATGTCGCGCAAGTATCTTCATGATTTTATAAATGTCTTGACAAAAATATGCAGCGTGAAAAATAGCAAATTCTCTCCGAAGTTTTATCTCTCTTTCTCTCTCCTCTCTCTCTCTCTTTTTGTCGCAACTTATTTTTGTATTAATTTAGAAGTTGCAAAATATTTTTGCTAAATATAATAACGTCATCTCGTTAAAGGTCTCGTAAAATAAACTTCTCAAGTTACACATGTTCAGCGCAAATCGATAAAAGTTCTAGCGAGTTTCGAAGTGGCTGTGCGAAAAATGTATGATACTTCGCGCGGGGCTCTCGCACGAGAAACACCGTAGTTTAGTGTACGCTAGATTAATCGCCAATCGAGCGAAAGGAGAAAACAGTCGGTCGTTTCGCGGAAATTGATCGCGCGGGCAGTACCGAAAGCCTCGGTAGTTCGCGCACGAATTTTCCATGGAAACGGGCATGGTCGGGGCACGTTTTCTCTTATCCGCGCTTAAATTACGTATTAATTTTATATAGAGACTTCCACTTGCCTGTAAATCGCATCAAGATCGGCATCGTTGACGAGTGGCAAG